GAGTGACCACTGCCCCCCTGGGGAGTGACCACCGAGTGACCACTGAGTGACCAGTGACCACTGACCCACAGTGACCACTGCCCCCCTGGACAGAGTGACCACCGAGTGACCACTGAGTGACCACTGAGTGACCAGTGACCACTGAGTGACCACTGAGTGACCACTGAGTGACCACTGACCCACAGTGACCACTGCCCCCCTGGGGAGTGACCACCGAGTGACCACCGAGTGACCACTGAGTGACCACTGACCCACAGTGACCACTGCCCCCCTGGGGAGTGACCACCGAGTGACCACTGAGTGACCACTGAGTGACCACTGAGTGACCCACAGTGACCACTGAGTGACCAGTGACCCACAGTGACCACTGCCCCCCTGGGGAGTGACCACTGAGTGACCACCGAGTGACCACCGAGTGACCAGTGACCACTGAGTGACCACCGAGTGACCACTGAGCCCTGGGCACACGGGCAGTGGTCACTCATTGGTCACTCATTGATCACTCAGGGTCACTCGGGTCACTCATTGGTCACTCAGGGTCACTCATTGGTCACTCAGGGTCACTCAGGGGTCACTCATTGGTCACTCAGGGTCACTCGGGTCACTCAGGGGTCACTCAGGGTCACTCATTGGTCACTCAGGGGTCACTCATTGGTCACTCAGGGTCACTCGGGTCACTCAGGGGTCACTCATTGGTCACTCAGGGTCACTCATTGGTCACTCAGGGGTCACTAAGGGGCACTCATTGGTCACTCGTTGGTCACTCAGGGTCACTCATTGGTCACTCAGGGGTCACTCATTGGTCACTCATTGGTCACTCAGGGTCACTCGTTGGTCACTAAGAGGCACTCATTGGTCACTCGGGTCACTCATTGGTCACTCATTGGTCACTCATTGGTCAGTCAGGGATCAGTTACAGGTCAGTGGTCACTCAGTGGTCACTCAGTGGTCACTCATTGGTCACTCAGGGGTCAGTGGTCACTCAGTGGTCACTCAGGGGTCACTCACGAGGGTCTCAGCACGGCGCAGGGCGTGGCGTTGCCCAGCGGGTCACTGGTCAGCGCGCACACGTAGCGGTCACTGGGGGTCAGTCAGGGTCAGTCAGTGGTCACTCATTGGTCACTCAGAGGTCAGTGGTCAGTCAATGGTCACCCATTGGTCACTCAGGGGTCAGTGGTCACTCATTGGTCACTCAGTGGTCACTCACGA